TAAAGAAATGCTCAACCTTATTAGCCATTAGGGAAATGCAAATCAAAACGACCCTGAGATTTCACCTTACACCCATCAGAATGGCCAAGATGAAAAACTCAAGTGATAGCACATGCTGGAGAGGTTGTGGAGAAAAGGGAACCCTCCTCCATTGCTGGTGGGAATGTAAACTGGTTCAACCACTCTGGAAGTCAATCTGGCACTTTCTCAGACAACTAGGAGTAGTGCTACCTCAAGACCCAGCTATACCACTCCTAGGTATATACCCAAAATTTGCTCAAGTACACAACAAGGACATTTGTTCAACCATGTTCGTAGCAGCTTTATTTGTAATAGCCAGAACTTGGAAACAACCCAGATGTCCATCAATGGAGGAATGGATACAGAAACTGTGGTATTTTTACACAATGGAATACTACTCAGCAATCAAAAAGGAGGAAATCATGAAATTTGCAGGCAAGTGGTGGGATCTAGAAAAGATCATTCTGAGTGAAGTATCCCAGAAGGAGAAAGACAAACTTGGTATATACTCGCTTATATAGACCTACAAGATATGATAAACATAATGAAATCTACACACCTAAAGAAGATAATCAAGAAAGTGGACACAGGCGAATGTGATTAATCCTCATTTAGAAAGACAAATGGGATGTGCATTGAACTTATGACAGGAGTCTACCACAAAAGGCATCTGAAAGACTCTACCTAGCAGTGTTTCAAAGCAGACACTAAGACTCATAACCAAACCCTCGGCAGAGTGCAGGGAATCATATGAAAGAAGGGAAGTTAGTATGATATGGAAAGGATAGGAGCTCTACAAGGACCAAATATATCTGGGCACAGGGTCTTTTCTGAGACTGACACTCAACCAAGGACCATCTATGGATATAACCTAGAACTTCTGCTCGGATGTGGCCCGTGGTAGCTCAGTAACCAAGTAGTTTTCCAAAGTAAGGGGAACACGGACTATTTCTAACAGGATCTCAAGGGCAGGCTGTTTGACCCCCCCCCCCAGGGGAGGAGCAGTCTGTTAGGCCACAGAGGAGGACTTTGCAGCCAGCCCTGAAGATACCTGATAAAACAGGGTCAGATGAAAGGGGAGGAGGTCCTCCCCTATCAGTGGACTTGGAAAGGGGCAGGGAGGAGACCAGGGAGGGAGTGTGGGGTTGGGGAGGGAATGAGGGAGCAGGATACAGCTGGGACACAGAGTTAACAAAATGTAACTAAAAAGAAAAATAAAATAAAAAAAAAATTAAAAAAAAAGAAATCCTAAGTTAAGATATAGATACTTAGAGCTAAAAAGCAGTTGGAAATTTTTGACCAAGAAAGTGGCCTATTGTTGTTTAGATACCACAGCTGTAAACATTTATGGAGACTTTATTACAGACCATTTAACAATTCTTTAGTTTCATCCCAGCTCAACTGTTAGATAAGGGTCAGATTATCCATTAGGAAGGGCTTTCTATATTCAGATGTTTACCTGGATGGACCTTTGTTGGTTAATTGTCAGAAAGCTGGGTGTTTTAGGAAGTTAGCTAGCCTGGATTATAAAGAGACAAATGAGAAAAAACAATATCCTACATGAGCAAAGTATATGCTTTATAAAATTGTGTGTTTCTATAAAAAGCTCAAATTAAGGCTCTCTCTATTCCTGAAAGTCTGGTTTTCCAGCCTCAGTCTGGTGCTGTAACAGACAGATTGAATGATATCTGTGGTTGCTTTTTCTTTTGCCCGTGAATATGCACTTATCCTATCAAGAAAGCACTATATAACCTGCCTAAACTGAAGGGTCCCTGTACATTCGTGCTGTTTACCTCTACAGGGGAGGACTGCCAGTTACTCTATGTTGGCTTTCTTTCTTCAGATTTTCTCACTGAGAATATAGTGCTTTTGAAGTTAAATAACAATAATTTTAAAATCATGGAAAGGTCCATTCAAGAAATATCATTAAAATATGTATAGAGAGATCATTCAATAATTATGTATACATATATAAACCCATCCAATACATACATACACACATACAGGCATGCATACATACATACGTCCTATTGAAGGTAATCTATTTCTATGTAACAGGCTACTATAAAATCAGTGGCCAGCCTAAAAAAACCAAAAACACTTGTTATCTGACATTTCCCATATATCAGGAATTTGGGAGCAATTGAGTTGGACAGCCTGGGTCTTTCATGGAGTTACAGTTAGGTTGCTCTGAGGAGCTGCAGCTAAAGACTGAGGCTGAAGGACCTGTATGACTCCGTCACATGACATTGTGGAGATTGCTTACCTCATGAGCCTCTCCATACACAATTAGAATTCCTAACATGACCAGAGTAACAGCAATCCAGTGGCCACCAACACATCTCTGACTTGGTATCTGAAATAATGCACATCACTTTTATCAAAACCTAGTCATTAGAAGGAGAACAAATAAGCTAAGTGGCTTTTTGAAGGTAGGATCAGAGAGACACTTTGCAGACAACTTTTAAAACTCATAGACCCTGTGTTCTCCAATAGAAAAATAAATAAACACATACACAAGCAGACAGACACATTTGTCTTCATCTTAAAGTTATCTTTGCCCCCTCTTGCTATTTTCCTCTTAGTAATGCCCATTTATTTTATACTTTTTAAAGTAAAATTTTACAAATTTTTCAGTTTACCGTCTCAAATATTTGTAGTGCATATGGTAAAACTAATTGTAAGCTAAATTTAGAATTGACAATCTTAGGACATCTAGCCTTTCTGTTAATGAGTACAAGATATCTGTCCACTTATACCGTATATAATGCCCCGTGAGTGTCATGATTTTCTCTGAAGAGATTGTATACAATTGTGCATTTTTGCTGCATTTATTACTAAGAATTCGTATACTTATTATCATACTATATTGCTACTCACTGACAGTATTATATCCTTTCAACTTATATCAGGTTGTTTATTACCATGGTACAGAAATTACGACATACTTAAGCTAATCTTGTATTTTGCCATCTCTATATTCTTTAATTACACCAAATATTTTCTCTTATTCTGTAAATCTTGAAAAGAGATTACAGTGTTGACTGTGGCTTGCAACACTATAGACCATGATGCACACACACATACAAACACACACATATCACTTATGCTTACAATTAAATACTTACGAATGATAGATGGAAAAGGTATTGGTAACTTCATGAGTTGGGTGACGTTAAGGCTGTGAGGAAGAAGGAATGGGAAGTCAATGGGGTTTTTGCTGTAACACTAAGTGTTCACTTTTACAAAATACAAAGCTAGGACAAATGTTAAAACTTCTTCACTCCATGGTAGAGGGTAGTGGAGGACTTTTATAGATCTTTAGTTTTTCAAAACCGTTATCTTTCTTTTGCACACTGTGTCGCTGTGTGTGGATGTCTGTCTATGCAAGTGTGGAGGCCCAGAACTGAGATGGCGTTTTCCTCCATTGACCTCCATTTCGTTCACTGTGGGAGTAGCTCTCAGTTCAGCCCAAAGTTTGCCCACCAGCGAGCTTGCCCTGGGAATCCTGTCTCCACCACACTTGCTTGGCAGCCAAGAGGTTCTGAGAAGCCAAACAACGGTTTCCATGCTTTCATGCCAACTTGCCACGAAGCTGCCTCCCCAGGCCCCAGCTAAATTACATTAATTTTTTTTTCATAATTTTAAATGTTCGTGAGTTAAAAAAAAAATCCTCTCTGTTTGTTTAGGATCTATGTATTGGTGTTCGTATTACCCAAGAGGACATTCTCCATCCATCTGTGTGGTGGAATACCCTTCCAGGCTCCTTCATTCTGTTTAACACAGAAAGATAAATAGAAGTTCATTTAAGGTTCTTCCTGGTCCAGATATTCTAGGTTCCTTCCCTTTTTTGTTACCTGTCTGTCCCTTTCCCCCTTTTTAAGATACATTACCTGGATCCAGTATCAATCTGTCTTGCCTTTCTCCTTATGTGTCTTTTCCCGAAGCTATCGGGTGCCTTTGACTGACGCACGCACAGCAAACAAACTTGCTAAAAATCCCAGGAACAGTGTTCTAGGTTGTGTTTTGCTTTCTGTTTATTTCTTTGTGAAACTTCAACTTTCCACTTAATATGAAAGTCATAAAATTTCAGTCCAAGAAGAGGTGTAGGGGGAGGAGCCCCCGGGAGAAAGCCACTCTGTGGGGCAGGGTACTTGCTGGGTTGCTGATTTCTTAGCTGCCTTCAGACTCCAGGATAGGAACCAACAGCTGAGCTAGGAACAAACAGAAGCAAGCGAAAACGTTGGGGGAGGAACAGGTGTTTCGCAGTTTGAGGGAGAGACATCAGTGAGTGAGGTGGAGATGGGCTGCCAGTAGGAAACATCCCACAGCACCCCAGCAGCAGCAGCAGACAGCAAGGAGAACCCGCCCAGTGAAGGCGGAGACGTCTGAGCTGCAGTGTGGCTCCCAGGGTACCCGGGGACCCGCGGAACCGGCTCCCTCCGTTTCTCTGGAGACCTTGACTGAAGGCAAAAAAAAAAAAAAAACGGCAGGAGAGCTTAGCCAGGTGGGAGCAGGCTTCCCAGCCCCAGAACCTTTCCTTGCGCAGACATGAGCTACCAGCAGCCAGAGCTGAGGGAGCAGCTGCAGGTAACGGGGTAGGAGCTGAAGAGTTCCTGTAAAGTTTCAGGCTGGGGTCTCGGTTTAGCAAAAAGGGACAGATGTGACTTAATCTGACCTACACCTACTTGTCAGACACTTTTCAGTAACTTCAACCACCTATCTGATTTCATGAAATCATGCAGTTTACTCCTAACAAACTCTGGAGTTGGGTCAAGGCAACGGAGACGAAGGATAGACTTTAAATTCTTTGGGATTACTAGCCATTCCTTTATTATCACATTATTAACATTATAGGCATTGTTTGATGCCACTACTATGTTTGAATCCTGCATTGCTCACCGATCTGACATTTTTTTCCATTTTCAAACTAGTAAATATTTTTTATCATTATTTTATCTATTAAAATAGAGAGAGACAGACCCGAGTGACAGAGAAAGCCTGGTCTCTAGACATGAACACCAAGGGAAATCGACTCAGTATGCAGCTGTTTTCAACATAGTCAATTCTGTTATAGGATCCGGAATAATAGGTAAGCCACCTGTGTCTCCTTGGTTCTTGTTTGTGAAGTTAAAAAAGACAAGCCCCTCAAACTGTTATTATTATGCTAGCATTCGCTGGTTCTTTTTAAAGAAAAAAAAAAACTTAAATGAGGAAATTGCTGGTTTTCTTTCATAAAAGTCTTTCTTTTTTATCTTCTCCAGTATGGTAATGTTCGGTCCTCTTTATACTGAAGATACACTGTTTCCCGCCACAGCAGACAGCATCCTCTCGTGGGGGAGGGGGACTGAGTAGGGTACCAGGAAAATGGGCTTTTTCACAGACTGCCTGCTCAATTGATGATTTCGTCTCTCTTCCCTTCTGAAGCAGAATTACTTAAATCCTCCTAGTATCACTGCGAAACTACCAGATTCTTGCATACATTATGTGTAAAAAAAGTTTAAATGTGAGACTTTTAACAGTCCTGTGAAAATTAAGCTAGACAATATTTCCTATATGATGTTAAAATTGAAATTTGAACTTTTGAAATATTAGGTTCGCATATCTAGTCATTAATATAGTTCTTTTACAAGAGTTCTTACGATTGATGAGAATACTCCACCTTATTCCAATAAATGAGATGTAACGACGGAAAGCTTCTAAAAAAGTCAACACTTTAAAACGGTATTGCATTACATTAGTAGATACATTCCAGCATTATTATTATCCTTTTTTGTAGCTGAACACTTTCCAGTTTTTGAGCAGAAAACGCAGGGGAAACAAAAACCTGCCTACTGCAATGTCGGCCAAATATGTAACTTTTTAACTATAAAATTTTTGTATTTTACTTTACTTAAAAACGTAAGGTTATCAAATGGGTTGTTTTTCTTAATTTATATTTATTTATTATTTTATTTTATGTGCATGTATAAGTGTTTTGCCTGCATGTATGTATACCACATGTATGCCTGGTGCCCAAAGAGGTCAGAAGAGGGTATCAGATCCCCTGGAATTAGAGTTCAGGATGGTTGGAAGCCACCATGTGGCTAGGAAATGGGTATTTGTCAAGAGCAAAAAGTGCTCTTAACTGCTGAGCCATTTCTCTAGCCCCTGTGGTAATTTTCTTATTTCTTTCACAAGTTGATGCAAATTCTGGCTTTATGTTAATCTATATATACATTTTTTGGATGAACAATAAGTTGGAGGTTCCTGAGGTGACGCTGAGGTGAGCAGAAACACAGGCTTATTTAGAAGTTTGTCTCTGTGTATCACGGAGTGTGGACAGTTCAATCGACAGAATTCTAGAACTTATTCCTGGCGTGAAGCCTTGTCCAGGTTAACCCAACGATGTTAAAATGTCCCACTTCACCGCACTCAGGACTGTTGTTTTAAAAAGAAACATTTTCCGAAAAAGAAATAGTCTGGATGGAAACGCTTGAATTATTTTATTTTGGATATTTTATAGTCTATAATCTAAAATTATCCATATCCACAAAGCAGTAAAAAATAATTTTATGAACCTCATTGTGGGATGTTTTTGCAGTTTTATGTCTTTTTAATGTGGGGTTTGGGCATTTTATGATTTTCCAGGGTTGCCTTACTCAATGAAGCAAGCCGGATTTCCCCTGGGCATACTACTTTTATTCTGGGTCTCATACATTACAGGTAAATAGCATATAACTGCATGTCCCTACAATTTAACTTGTGCAATGACTTCTTTGCTTACACAAATGTACCCTGCAATTGGATTTCCTAGTTAATTAAGAAGTACATCAAAGCGTCCTAAAGAATTTAAGCACCACTTCTGAGGAGATTTGCTTTTCTTCCTAATCCTTTAACCAGATTAGGAAAAACAGCATGTTATATCACCAAACCTAAAAGCTGGTCATGTGCTTTTTTTCACTCCGAGCAGAAAGGGGTAGATGAGAAAGTCGTTTCCAAGGCTCCACAGTGCACGCGGATGAGCAGCCATTGTCACTGTTTGTATAAGATGGTACAGACTCTTCTCTCCAGTGCTGCCTCTGTGTGCTCTGTCCACCGCTGCCTTCCTGTGCAACAGGAAGCTGCTTCTATATCGCTTTCTCTGCGCCTGTCCACTCACAAAATATCCAATCACACCCAGGCGTTGCCACCTGTCATGCAAATACAGGTCCAGCCTCCAGGACCACCTCATCTTGCTAATTCAGGTAGTGCCAACTCCTACCAGCTCACTTCCTGCAACAGCGCCTTTCCTCTGACTTGGGATCACTGTGAAAGGGGCATCAACTGTTAACCGACGATTGGTTTTGTTTGAGTTTTTGTTTTTATTTTGCTGTGGTGACATCTATGAGTGGTACTCCAGGCAAATGCCCTGTACCAACGAGTCCCCAAGCCCTCAGCCCCATACCAACCAGTAAACATCCCCTCAGTTGTCCTGAGGGATACAGGCGATTAACCTGGATAAGCCAAAAACCACTCCATCTTTTTGCCACCATGGGAAGAGGTAGGGCAATGTGAGGTACCTTTGGGGTGTACCACAGACACACTACCAGCCCTGGGGTGTTGCTGGTCTCCACGCAAGACTGTCTTCTTGACACCTGTTTCCTCTGCCTTCTCCATTTGTTCCTGGAAGTGTGTGTCTGTGTCCCACTGAGTTTAACTACAGTTGCTTGCATGAGAAGAGGCAGGGATTATTAATAGAACATATGCAATTTATCAGTGTCCGTACTCCTGGAGAAAACGATACCTCCCTCACCCAGCCACCATTAACTGTCTGTAGCTCCATGAGGAAGGGTGAGGTCTCATGAGCCTCTCCCCAGTAGGCATGACGGACTGCTGATGGACCCTTACCTTGTACAGGTGGTAGAGTTCATGAGTGCAAGTATTATGTCCTGTCTGGAAGACACTGATTCATAAGGCCTCTTCCCTTCCTCTGGTTCCTACATTCTTCAGCTCCCTCTTTCACAATGTTCCCTGAGCTGTAGAGGGAGCAAATAATTTGTCACAGTTAGGGTCAGGCAGTCATTATTCACTTATTCTGTTAATTGTGATTGTCTGCATTAACTGTTTCCCACTGAACAGAGACGCTTCTCTGCCCAGGACTGAGGCAAACGTTAATATATGCATACGAATACAGTACCTTTGGAAACCTTGTCATCTTTTAATTTCCTGCTTTCCAGTTAGTGCTGACAAATATTTAATTTCCACCCAGGTGTATTACCGTAGCTTTAGTGCATGCATTGTAAGCACATAATTATAAATCAGCAGACAGAAAATGAAACCTCTCACCTGTGAATTGGGATTGGAAGAAATAGTTTAGTGAGCCCACATCATATTACATGTAAATAAGTCAGACTGGAAATAGCGTGTTTAGCTTCTGGTTTACCTGTGATATGCAATGTCACCAAAGCCATGCACTACAAAGCTTACTATCAGGAGGAATGATTGGCCCATTTATGTACCAACAACATCATAATCACTGAACAATTTTCATAAATAAAAGATTCCCCTCACAAAGGCCAAACAATGTGTATCTCAAGATTCATTTTTTTCCTTAATTTTTAAATTCATTTCCTTTCTTTTGTTTTAAGAGCAAAATATACAAATACAGTATATTAATTTTTTCTTTAAATTAATACTAAAATTATTTTTTAATGGAATCAGTCTTTGTTTTAATTTTTACAAGTGCTACAGCTCTATGGTACAAGTAATTAAAACCTTAAGTTCTGGAGCAAGGCTGGAATTTAAATCCTGTGTCCTTAACCCGGTGGTCCTTATTAGCCATTTGACCCTATGGAAATTACTCAGTAACAGAAAAATTAAATGGTGACTTATCTCTAGATTTCTTTGAGATGGGGAAAAACAAAACAAAACAAAACAAAAAAAAAAACCACCTCATTTCCAGGCAGGCATACACACTTGCTGTGGGACAGCAGATAACCTTGACCTTCCTGTTGCCTCCGCCTCCTGGGTGCTGAGATTGCAGGCATGGACCATCATCCTAGTCTAAGTGTTGCTGGGGAATACACACAAGGTCTGTATGTAAGCACTCTACAATCAAGCTACATGTCCAGACCTCTACAGTTTTGTTTTTTTTTTTTTTTTTCTTTTTTGCCTGTGTGTGTATTACTGGGTCTCACTGCATAGTTCTGGCTGGCACAGAACTTGCTATGTAGACCAAACTGGCCTCAAACTCACAGAGGTCTACCTGCTTCTGCCTTGCAAATGCTAGTTGCATACACTATCACACCCAGCCTCCTTTGCCTTCTTAGATTCTCTGATGAAGCATTCAGATCAAGAGGTAGTAAATGTTGTTTTACTGCAAGCAGGTTGGTGACTCCCAAACTCACTCCTATCTGCTACACCTAGGAGGGGCGTGAAAGCAAATTCTAATAGTAATTTTGTGTTTTTGAAGAAACTGAGGTTGTAAGACCTGGGGTCTCACAGCTCAGGAGTTCAAGATCGCGCCCTTCCCAGAAACTCCCCCAGATCAAGACTCGTTGCAAAAGCAAGAGGTTTATTAACCATTGCACAATGGGGTCACCCCTACCGGTCAGCAAAAATGGCACCGGGAGACAAAGGCCTTTTGGTTTTTAAAAGAAAAATTGCAGGAAATTTGAAGTTGCAGTCTTGGCAACTTAGGATTGGATGAGGAAGCTATAAAATAAGATAATTGGTTAGTCTTAGGTGCTCAAGCTTGGCCAGTCCTGCCAAGTGTGGATGCAGCTGCAATTGAAGGTGGGGGTGGTTAGCTCATCCTTGAAGATTAGGGGCTACAGACTTTTGGCTGGAGGTCAAAAGCTACTCAGAAGAAGTTTAGGTTCATTTGCTAAGAATCGCTATCTCAAAGACAAGGGTCTGGTCCTTCTTTTGCTGAGTGAAGGTCATTGCTTGCTTGCCTTTTTTTATATCTGTCCTCACAGATAGGGTCACATTTCTTCATTCTCTGGAAAGGTACTAAGAGGCTTTAGCTTAACCTGGACCTAAAACTCAAAACTATAGGCTTTAGAAGACATATAGGTTACAAAGTTAGCCTAACCCTTTCAAGGTCAAGAGACCTTTGTCTTGTTTTCTTAGAGTTTTCTCAGAGGCACTCAGAAGTCTCCTCCCACAACTCTATTCTTGGACCATGTTCCAACACCCTAGCATGATGACACTTGCCTATAATCTCAGCACTCAGGAGGTTGAGGCAGGGAGATCAGAAGTTCAAAGTCATCCTTGGGTACACAGCAAATTTGAGGTTAGCCTTGGTTACATGAAACATTTCTTCAAAAACAACTCATTTTTTTCTTAAACATATTTCAGTTGAAGCATGCAAATCCTTTGTATCAAATGCTTTCTGAAATGATTTGTGTTTTGTTTTGTTTTACTACAGACTTTTCCTTAGTTTTACTGATAAAAGGAGCAGCCCTCTCTGGAACAGACTCCTACCAGTCTTTAGTTAACAAGACCTTCGGCTTTCCGGGGTACCTGCTGCTCTCTGTCCTTCAGTTTCTGTATCCTTTCATAGGTAAGATGGTTGTGAAGAGAGATGTGACAATAGTTGGTACCAACATGGTTCCTTTATGAATAACAGCAGTCTTAGTAGACATTTGAGAGTTATCACAGACAATTAGTAGTTGAAGTGTTTTCCAAATTAAGTGTTTGCATCTTAGCTACTTTCTTTCTTATTATTTGGTACTTTTGACCTATTCTGTAAGCATTTTTCTAAAATAAATGGGGATTTGGTTAATGTTTTGGCTTTCCTTACCTGTCCTGTTCTCTCTCTCTCTCTCCCTCTCTCCCTCTCTCTGATCAGTGATATATATGATATATATATATATATATATATATATATATATATATATATATAT